CTATAGTTAACAGTTGTGAATAACCTTGCTATCAGACAGAGATATTGTAAACTCGATTACGGCGGACCTTAAAATGTGATATCTGATCATTTGATCACCCTTTTGACCCATTGTAAAAGTGTTTTAGTTTTTAATACTTCTTGTTTTTTCTTGGTTGTCCCCCCTCCCCCTGGGTTATTTTGTTACTGTTCTTGGCTCCCCCCACCCCACTTGTATGTTTTCCAGTATATGAAGTTCAGGTTGGGTGAAGCTACAGAGACAGGAACTGGATTAAGGATTTATGGGGGATACGGTGCAGGAGGGGAGAGAGGTTGGAGGGAAATAGGGATCTAATCATGAATATGAGAGGGAAGAAAATGTTCTGCAACTGATTGTCGCAAAGATTGAACACCTCTTTTGAATATGCGTGGACTATGGAAGTGTATGATGTGTGATGAATATGTCAATAATTTTATTTTTAAAAAGAACCTGAGTTAATCGGCTGCCCCACAAAGGAAGGATGGACACAAGGATGGCTGAATGAAAGCATGTAGCTACTTCGATAGCATCTAATCCCCAAACTTGGTAAAAGGCCCGAAGTCCTGTTGCTCAGAGTCTTCCTCCTTAGATAAAAAGGAATAAGGTTCCACAATGGAAAACTTACCAATCGACATTCAAATGAAAACCCAAAAATCCACTGCCACTGAGTCTATTCTGACTCATAGTGACCCTATAGGACAGAGGAGAACTGCTCCCTAGGGTTTCTGAAGCTATACATCTTGACAGAAGCAGACTGCCTCATCTTTCCCCCAGGCAGTGGCTGCTGGGGTAGAACCACCAACTTTCAGCTTGCAGGCCAGCTCTTAACTCACTGTGACCTCAGGGCTCCCATTCAAAGGAAAATTGGATGGAAAGTCCAATGACTTGTTTCCCAGCAGGATGCAAAAGGAGGCAGGGGGATTTGAAGGAAGGAACCATCTGTATGGGAGAAGCACAGGCTCAAGGGCCAGGCTTTTCTCTTTTTTTGTTGTTATTGTTGATTTGTTTTCTTTTGTTTGTTTTGCTCTGTCTTGTTTTTGTGCATATTATTATCTCTGCAGGTCTATCTGGATAAGATAGGCAGGATAAACAATCTGGAGGAGAAAACAATGGGACCAACAACCTGTGGTGGGGGAAGGGAAGTGGGTGTTAACAAACCCAGGAACAAGGGAACAACAAGTGATCTAAAATTGATGGTGAGGAGGGTGTAGGAGG